CTCTCCCAAGTGAGCCAGGGCCGGCTTTTAGGTGCTCTGGTTTTTGTTTTTCTGTTTTTTAAAAGATGACCAGTAAGGGGATCCTAACCCTTGGCTTGGTGTTGTCAGCACCACGCTCTCCCAAGTGAGCCAGGGCCGGCTTTTAGGTGCTCTGGTTTTTAAGTCTCAAATATGTTTATTCCTTGAGAACCTGGTGTGGTTTAGTCCTGACTCTGTCCTCTTCATCCACGCATACTTCCCACATAGTGCTCATTTTATCGTGCTGACATCTCTTTTGATATATGGCTTGAGGAGGGGATGCCACTAATGTGTAATAAGTATGTTACTAAAAAGATCTGACAGGAAACTGAAATCATCTAGTTTTGATTTCAGAATTGGCCACAACCAGTAGATATTGGGCCATGAAAATGGAATTATCACAAGAGAGTAATGTCCTCCTGCTATATTTTACAATTCAACTTTATGTTTTAGGGAGATCTTAGCAAATTACAGTTAATTCAGTGAGGGTTATCATTTTAAATACCATCCTAGATAAAACAGTGAAGCTTATTTAACAGTTCAGGGAAAGACCTTGTCACCTGAGTTCATTAAGTAAACAGAGTTTTACTGTGGAGCTTGTGCTTTTCTGAGAGAGATTGGTGTCATTACTAACATGGCACACTAATTTGTTACAAAACAATGTCCTATGGAGACTAGGACGATAGACATGATAGTGCTTAATGGTTAATAGTGTTTGTTGCATAGCAAATAATTCCTTTTCCTGATGTTTGTGACAGGGCCGCATCAGTTGTACTGGACGGCTGATGGTACAGGCTGTCAACCAAAGAGGTCGCAGTCCCCGCTCTCCCTCAGGCCATCCTCATGTGAGAAGGTATTTCAGATGTTCCTTCCCTAGGTGTTATCATTATTGTTATTTTATTTATTTACTACTGTAAGTTTANGGGAGCGCCGCCACACTTCCCAAGCGGTGCACTGTAGCAGTGCGCCACCGGGCCGGCCCCCAAGGGACCACCTCCTTCTATTTGGTCATTCCTAATTCTTCTCCCATCTCTGTTACATTCCTATACATCTTTGCTTTCTCTAAAGTTGTCCAGGCTTTGAGAGACCTGGAGAGCCCCACTGACTGGATTTATGCCCTTCACTGAATCCTGCTGCGGGTTTTTTCTCTGTGTTCCCTCCACCAGTGCCCACCCCAGCCTGCTCTCAGTTGGAAAGCAGTTCTTCCAAACACACAGAACTGCTGCTTCTGTTATCTGTCTGTGCTGGTAACTTGCAGTGAGAGCGGCAACCAGTGGTAGACTTTTATCTTGAGTGTGGTGCACATGAGGACTGCTCATCACCCTGAGCTAGAATTCACTACGTCTCACCATTAGCCATAAGTCTGCTTCTCATCTTTCCTCTCTTGCTGTTACCTTTTGGCCATCAATCTGCTCATTCTCTGGGGAGAGAAGAGGAGAAAGTGGAGGAGAAAATCATCTATTTTGCTATTGTGCTAGTAACAAGAAGAAAATATTAAGAGAAGGAGCTGAAACCAGAAGCCAAAGTAATAATGGGTGACTTATGTCATCTGGGTCCCTTAAGAATTATTTTTGTCTATCCATACAACAGCATTTTTCAACCATTCAGTGGACAAATTTAAGAGAAAAAATACAGCTTTTCGTTAGCTAGGCCCTTATCATAGGACCACATGTTTTAGGTGTGTATATTGAGGTGCTCTGGTTTTTGTTTTTCTGTTTTTTAAAAGATGACCAGTAAGGGGATCCTAACCCTTGGCTTGGTGTTGTCAGCACCACGCCCAGCCAGTGAGCAAACCGGTCATCCCTATATTTCATCTGAACCCGGGGCCTTGGTGTTATCAGCACCGCACTCTCCCGAGTGAGCCACAGTTCAGGGAAAGACCTTGTCACCTGAGTTCATTAAGTAAACAGAGTTTTACTGTGGAG